AAATTATTCTTTGCGGTAAATGTTCAAATGGTTGTTGTAACTGGTGTCACATCATTATTCAACTATTTCGCGCTTCGATTGAGAAATCAAAAAAATGGAAGTAAAAAAAAAAAAAAAATGAAATAAGTAAGACGAATAAGTTGCTGTACTGAATACATTCGAATTCTTACTGATTTATTCATTCCATTAACGAAATATCAAACAGGTAAGTATCAAATAGGTAAGATATATAGAGAGACAATTGATGGCAATTAGATTACGATAACAATTACCAAAGAATTAAATTTTCCGTAAATTTTTATAAATTCATCACAGACATTACTAAAAATGCTGTTTTCAAGTGTTGTTGAAAGCAACATATATCAAGTCAACATATAACATATATCAGGGTCAGATCTGGGTGACAGATCATTTTAATGGAAATTTAACCAATATCAAGTTTTGATGATCATTTTAAATCACTTTTTTTTAGATGAGAGAATTAGTCTTCAACTTAATAAATTCAAATTTTTAGATGGGGGAATTAGTTTTTACTTTGATAAATTCGAATTCGATTTTGTTGGTGTATACAACTGCATGAAGTATAATGTGTAATCAATAGCAATGATAAATACAAGACTTATAAATCCAAAATTCTTTCAAAATTAATGATTGATAAATTGGTTTAATATTTTTCATCTACGAGAGAAGCTTTATGAGAATTAAAATGAGTAATAGCAGTCAATGCAGACAGAATTTAAACTAGTTTTTTATCAGGATGGATCTGAATCCTAATCAGTAGGTATGGATTGGCCATGTGGCATATATCAAAAGTTTGAAAGGAAGTAAATATTAACATACAGAAATTTAAAACATTTCTGACATATAGCGATTTCTTTATAGAACTTGCAAGTATAATTGTGGAATTATAGAGTTGAACGGAAAGTTATAGCTGAAATAATTCAGTAGTTAAAAGTTACTGTATGTCAAGAACAGTTTCAAGTTATGGGTTTTCAAGTTATAAATGATTCTCGAAAATCTGCCAAAAATATTTGAAAAAATATGAATTTATGCATCACATCTCGGGATGTTTCCTAACATTTGATTTATTTATAACTTAATAATCACTTTGTTTTTGTTTTTTTTTTTTTTTTTCAATGTCCAATTCTAAAATGCAACAAATGATATAAATGATGCTTTGTGATATCACGTGCTTCCTTATTGTAAATAAAATGAACAGTAGGCAACATGGCGTAAATGAAAATGAAACAACAATTTATGAAAATCTTTGATGGAATACGAGCTGCTTCACCGAAAATCTTGATCAAAACTGGTGGTAGAAAATTAAAAACAATACTTCCGGCTTCTAATATACCACAATTCCACGCTGCTTGAAATAACACCGACCATTCATAATGATGAATTTTTGTTGTTCCAGATGTAGCACACGATTTTGTTATTCCTAAACATATTTATCAATTTAATAATGAAACAGAATAAGATTTAATAAAAGTTTTAAAAACTTAATAAATTTCACTGCAGTATTCCGAAAGTAACTTGTCCAATTCTAAAATGCAACAAATATAAATTATGTTTTATGACTTCACGTGTGACATTCTAAATTGCAAATGTGAAAATCTTTGGAATAGATCTTATTTATAAAGAATGAAGGAAATATTTAATGAAACATACTTTGACGCCTACTGCGTACACTGTAGAATATCGTAAGATATATGACAAACATTGCATTAGGTATGAATAGTGCACAAAAAAAGCGTATTCTAAATATGAAAACAGACATTATTTCAAGCATAATTAAAACTTACTGAAACGGTAAAGAATGGAAAGAAAAATTTTAGTTAGCACTGAATTTTAAAGCTATTATTTGGAATACTTGTCAAAAAAATGAATCAAATGACATCATGAGAAATACCTCCACCAAGTCTTTGCTATTCCATTTGATTTTTCACAATCACCTTCCCAGCTTAACTTCCAAGCAAAGAATTCTGTGGTGCAAAAATAAAAATCGGCACATGTGAACACTGAAAATTTGGACTGAATTAAGCTGCTGGCAAGTTTGTAAGATGTCACCGTAATCTAATTTAAATTTAAAGCGTCATAAAGCGCAAGTTTGAAAATTACCGTTCAAAAAATCTCAATTCCTGATTCTGATATAAGTTGAGCTCACTACTGGAGATCACTCTACATAACTCATATGTGATAACGAAACAAGAAAAAAAATTATAAGTCGACGTGTTCTAGAACGATGATAGTATATCATCCTGGAATCTCTGCTTGGACGTCTTCTATAAGTTATTTAAAAAACAGAAGTTCGGAAGTTCTTTTGAAAATGTAAGAAGTATCAATGAGTCATACCAAAAGTTGACAACCACACGAGAAAGATTAAAATGTACAGCTTGGCTGACCGGAAAATAGAGTAGTATTTTGGTAAAATTAGTGCCACAAAGCGATTCATTGTCAACAGAAATGAAAAATTAAGTATGGAAAAGAATGGGAAAGTGGCAAAAGTTGAGAATGTACGATTGATCCATGTTGTTTCTGAAAACAAATTATATATCTAATGAAAAAATTCTTCTCTGTCGTGACTAGCAAACTTTGAAAATGTTTCTCACAAAAAGATTCTTTGCTTAAAGCTCTATAAGGCACAAATTTTCATATATTGTACCAAATTTTTAAATAAAAAATTGAATTTGAAGTCATTCGACATAATTTATGTAATACGAAAACTATAGCAGTGGTATCACTAATTTAGAAATCAAGCATATTTACCAAATTTCATAAGGAATAATCCTTTCTTCTTCATAATATGAAAAAAAAAAAACTTCTATTTAGCTGAATGAATTAAAGTAAATGAATGGTAACTGAGATATGCAAATAAAATAACTTGCCATATGAATTACTTTTAGTTTTTAATATTTCAGGAAATACAACAACTATTTGTGGGATAAAAGCCATGAAATTGGATATAATCAGCTGTGACGCAATAGCAATAAATTCTCGACTGTAGTGATTGTCTTTGCGGAAGAATACAGCAGCCAGAAGTATGTTGCTAATAATACCGTACAGCAACAAGACAGTGAAAAGTAGAATTGCTATGTATTTAATAATTTTATGGTTATCATCTCTTATGTCATTCATATCTGTCGTATCTTCCAGACAAATTGAAGGTAATATCAACAATAATACAATTATATAGTATAAACAAACCCCCATTTTGTCAAATGATTTTCGTTTTCACTATAAATTTCAACAAGATGGAGAGGAAAAAATTTCAATTGGAATGCCTGAAATACAAATACAAGGTGCTAAAAACTGCGAGTTTAAATTCCGAATCAGTAAATATGGTCGATGTTGATGACAGATGACAGTTATTGACGTTTAACAGTTGTAATCTAAGCGCCAAATTAGGTTTCCATTTTTATGCAACTTTTTAACAACTGACATGGAAACTGTTCATCATAACAAAATCACTGTTATCGTCATTGCTTACAAACGTATGATCAAATGTTTGACCAATCTTTGCTGAGCTTAATTTGCAATTCACAAATTAACTTCAATCCTCAGCTAATTTAGTTTGTATGGTAATTTATTTTCTTCGTTACGTAAGTCTGAAGCAATTATGACTTTGCAAAGCAAAACAAATTGAAAAACAATTAGCTGATATAGTTTGAAAGAAAATTACTGCACAATTAATATTGAATCAACCAACTTATAATGCTACCTTTAAATTCTACTAGCAATCTCTTCATCACAGAACTTACAACGGAACTCTTTTGCCTGCTTTTACTAATCATTTACATCACTTTGAGGATGCATCTAAGAAGCAATATATAGGTTTATTTACAAATGCTTAATGAGGAAATAATTTCTCAAGAACCTCTTGGCTTCATTAATTTGTAGCCTTCATTACGCCTACTCTTTTAACAACAGTAGAAAATCCATCAAATTTGATGTATTTTTGATTTAGAGAGCTTACACAAATATTTTGAAAAATTCATTCATAAAAATTTTATGAAAACAAATCAAAATTTAGCAGTTCGATGTGAACGGATCTTAAACTCATCTCTTTTGAAATTGCAGTGGACATTAATTAGTCAGCTTGAATGAAAACTGCAAGTAATAAATTGAACAAAGAAATTAATTTCATTTCATTTCAACTTCGATGCAATTAAATTACTTTAAATCACAAATTATGTACGGAAGATTAATAATCAGCTATAATGATATATTGATCTAATCTTTATCTTAACCAATATTTGTCTCTTGGCCCCAGAATCATTTCGAATCAATTGATTCTTGTAGCTCTGAATATAAAAGATTTTAACATGACGAACTTTACCTCTTGTAAAATTGAAATACTCACAGAATAAGCAAAGGATTATTTTGTTAGTTGCTATATTCGATAGTATGTGTGCATTGCTTCGTTAATGCAAATTTGTTGGCGGAGATTAAGAAAAGTAATGCATTATTTTATATTTTAAATTGAAGGAATCAAAGGAATCTTTTATAGAAAATTGACCTTGCTGCTAAAATAATTTATAATGATTATCAAAACTGTCTTATTGAAGGGATATGTTAGGCGGATTTAACAGAATTATGCAGTGAAACTGATTGTTTGCTTCTGAGAGACTTACACAACAAAGAAAATAAATTACATACAAACTAAATTAGCTAAAGATTGAAGCTAATTCATAAGTTTAAAAATAAGAGAGATCCAAACATTTGGTCCGACGGAGCAAACGATAATATTAGTAGCATTGTTAATAACAATTTCCATGAGAGTTGTGTAAGAAATGGAACCTTATTTTGCGATCAAATTATAATTACATTTCAAACAACAATGCACTGTCATCTGTCATCAACATCGACCATATTTACTGATTCGGAATTTAAACTCGCAGTTTTTAGCACCTTGTATTTGTATTTCAGGCATTCCAATTGAAACTTTTTCCTTTCTATCTTGTTGAAATTTATAGTGAAAACGAAAATCATTTGACAAAATGGGGGTTTGTTTATACTATATAATTGTATTATTGTTGATATTACCTTCAATTTGTCTGGAAGATACGACAGATATGAATGACATAAGAGATGATAACCATAAAATTATTAAATACATAGCAATTCTACTTTTCACTGTCTTGTTGCTGTACGGTATTATTAGCAACATACTTCTGGCTGCTGTATTCTTCCGCAAAGACAATCACTACAGTCGAGAATTTATTGCTATTGCGTCACAGCTGATTATATCCAATTTCATGGCTTTTATCCCACAAATAGTTGTTGTATTTCCTGAAATATTAAAAACTAAAAGTAATTCATATGGCAAGTTATTTTATTTGCATATCTCAGTTACCATTCATTTACTTTAATTCATTCAGTTAAATAGAAGTTTTTTTTTTTTTTCATATTATGAAGAAGAAAGGATTATTCCTTATGAAATTTGGTAAATATGCTTGATTTCTAAATTAGTGATACCACTGCTATAGTTTTCGTATTACATAAATTATGTCGAATGACTTCAAATTCAATTTTTTATTTAAAAATTTGGTACAATATATGAAAATTTGTGCCTTATAGAGCTTTAAGCAAAGAATCTTTTTGTGAGAAACATTTTCAAAGTTTGCTAGTCACGACAGAGAAGAATTTTTTCATTAGATATATAATTTGTTTTCAGAAACAACATGGATCAATCGTACATTCTCAACTTTTGCCACTTTCCCATTCTTTTCCATACTTAATTTTTCATTTCTGTTGACAATGAATCGCTTTGTGGCACTAATTTTACCAAAATACTACTCTATTTTCCGGTCAGCCAAGCTGTACATTTTAATCTTTCTCGTGTGGTTGTCAACTTTTGGTATGACTCATTGATACTTCTTACATTTTCAAAAGAACTTCCGAACTTCTGTTTTTTAAATAACTTATAGAAGACGTCCAAGCAGAGATTCCAGGATGATATACTATCATCGTTCTAGAACACGTCGACTTATAATTTTTTTTCTTGTTTCGTTATCACATATGAGTTATGTAGAGTGATCTCCAGTAGTGAGCTCAACTTATATCAGAATCAGGAATTGAGATTTTTTGAACGGTAATTTTCAAACTTGCGCTTTATGACGCTTTAAATTTAAATTAGATTACGGTGACATCTTACAAACTTGCCAGCAGCTTAATTCAGTCCAAATTTTCAGTGTTCACATGTGCCGATTTTTATTTTTGCACCACAGAATTCTTTGCTTGGAAGTTAAGCTGGGAAGGTGATTGTGAAAAATCAAATGGAATAGCAAAGACTTGGTGGAGGTATTTCTCATGATGTCATTTGATTCATTTTTTTGACAAGTATTCCAAATAATAGCTTTAAAATTCAGTGCTAACTAAAATTTTTCTTTCCATTCTTTACCGTTTCAGTAAGTTTTAATTATGCTTGAAATAATGTCTGTTTTCATATTTAGAATACGCTTTTTTTGTGCACTATTCATACCTAATGCAATGTTTGTCATATATCTTACGATATTCTACAGTGTACGCAGTAGGCGTCAAAGTATGTTTCATTAAATATTTCCTTCATTCTTTATAAATAAGATCTACCGCATATCTTAAAGTTTTCGAGACACTGCCGTAAAATTTATGAAATTCTTATGTCTTTTCTTTCATTATTAAATTAATAAATATGTTTAGGAATAACAAGATTGTGTGATGGACATGGAACAATGAAAAATCATCATTATGAATGGTCGGTGTTGTTTCAGGCTGTGTGGAACTATGGTATATTGGAAACCGGAAGTATTATCTTTAATATTTTACCATCAACTTTGGTTGAAATTTTCGGTGAAGCAGCTCGTATTCCATCAAAGATTTTCATAAATTGTTATTTCCTTTTCATTTATGCTATGCTGCCTACTGTTCATTTTGTTTACAATACGGAAACACGTAATGTCACAAAACATTATTTGTATCATTTGTTGCATTTGAGAATTGATGCATTGAAAAGAACAAAGCCGTTAGGAAACATCCCGAAATGTGATGGGTAGAAGTGACCTGAAGCATAAATTCATATTTTTTCAAATATTTTTGGCATTCTTGATAAGTTCTGCATGTATTATTTTAAGCTTCAAGTTATTTACCATTTTCTATTTTCTTTTAAGCTAATTGTTTCCAACTAATTTGTATCTTTCTTTCTTCAATTTATTTGTTTTCCAATTTATTTTGCTTTGTATCAAAAACGAAGAAAATAAATTACCATGCATGCTAAATTAGTTGAAGATTGAATTTAATTTACAAGTCACAAATTAAGCTCAGAAAAGATTAATCCAAGAATTTGATCCTATATTTACAAGCAATGACGATAGTGGTGACGTTATTACTGGCAGTTTCCATAGTAAACGCAATTGCACAGATGAGTTATACGATAAAACTTGCTTAACTTAATTCAGTTTAGTTACAATGAAATGAACTTATATGATCATTTGTATATGTTGAGATGGCAGAATTTTTCTGATTTCTGTTCAATCTCAGCAATAAACGCTTTTCAAAACAGTTCGAACAGAGAAATCATTGAAATAGATCAAATGACGATTGAACTTTTTGGGATACTTTTATACTTCATAACTATAACGATGATAGCATGCACTCATTATTTAAATAAAGTCATTTAAGTACACGTTCCAGTTCCTTTTTTTAACAATGATAGTTTCAGATGTCCACTATAAAGAATGTTTTAATGATTTCATCTTTTGACACCATCCATCATTTGTTATCCTTTCCATCGGAATGAAATTTCCACCCAAATAATCCCAATATCGACAATTTCATAATTGTGTCTTATTCTGGTTATGTCGTCCTGATCCACTGTTCCCTTAGATGATACTCTCAACCAAACAGCAATGGCCACAACAAAATCATGTAGGTAAAAAGGATCTCTCATAAATCCTCGACAACGTATCACTTTGCATGATACATGCAGTGATAAACTATAGTGATTTCTTCAGCGATTTTCACAAGACTTCTTGTTAATTTTGTAAAAGTAGCAAATTTTTTCGACAATTTTGTCAGTCCGAAATAGAAAATACATCAAAATTGCTGCGAAATATCTGTGACCATGAACTAGAACATGCTGTTTATTTCTTGGTTCTGTGAAGCAATATTAAAAAAAATTTTTTTACTTTAAGCCTAGTAGAAAGAAATTCATGTTTCAGAGATTCTTCGACAAAGCATGAGAAAGTGCAATGTCGGAAAAACGAAATTACAGTAATCTGTCGAAGTCTGTATTAAACTAGAAATTGTCTTATTTGAATATTCCTCAAATAAAACTGTTTTAATTTTATAAGAATTCATTTATTCAACACTCATCTTCCAAGTGTAGCTTAACTCATTGCATTGTTTAGAATGTTACACTCTGTTAACAAGGAATATTTACATTGCTTAACGTGCTGAAAATTTTCAACCTCTGCTGAAAGGTTGTCAGTCCCCTGTTAAAGCCTATTTTTTTTTAAACTGTCTGATCGTAATGTCGAAATATTGTAGAAATCTTCCAATCTAATAGTTACTCTGAGCAAACGACAAGCCAATTTTACAACACAACGAGTAAAGGTCATCAATAGTGACAGCTCTTTATTCACCGTAATCATACTCTTCGTTGTAATCCAGTGTCCAGTACATAAAGAGTTAATTAACCCACTGTCTGGATAGGTTTTCAGGACAACAAGCTTTAACTCAGCTAATCTCGCTTCACTTAGTTTTCTTCATCCTTTATTTTCAAATTTGATTATTTCTTCCGCTTTATTCTATACTCTACGAAATTATCAGTATACAGTAGCGAACCGAAATATTGGAGACTGTCATCAACTGCTTTCTGGTAGCAACAAATACTAAAAGGATTGTTTCGGTCTCTCTGATTCTTGTCAACATCTCAAACTTGAATAATTAAACACACTTATTCTGATAGATGGAATGGTCAATGAACTCAGCAATCACAATTTCATTACTACAATTTTAATGACATCAGTAATAAAAAGGAAAGCTCAGACTATTTACCATCCCACCAACTGACCCACCACCCTAAACGACTTCACAATATGAATTTGATGGGTAGCACCACCGTACACTTTAACGAGTTGCAAGGCCATAGACCGTTGTTATACACGAAATTGCGTCTTCAGAACACGCACAATGGTACGGCACTTTAGCGTAGTGTAAAATGATGAAACATTATGTATGTGACTTGAATCAACGAATGTGTCTCACTTTAACAAAACAGATTACTGTTTCTTTGTTTCCACAGCGATATCAGCGACAAATCGGCAGTTCATCTCCGAGATATTCCAGCCCACAAAATGAATTACTTGTGTCTCAAATGAAGTGTTTTGCTAACCACAGCTGGTTATGACATCAGAAAGAACTATAGTTGCAAGATTGTCGCATATGTCATAAGATTTCAAAAATCAAATGTATTTTTTTTTTTTATAAGAAACTTTACAGTGAACTGTACTCGGTCAAAAATCATTGATGTCGTAAAACTCGAAATAAGTTTTGCAAGCCTCTAAATAACTTACAAAATACATTAAATAAAATTAGAACACACTTGTCAAATTAAAGGTTGCCTTATTTCGCGCAGGAAACCATTTGTCTCGTATTCATCTTTCAAATAGATTGCTTACACGGTATCAGCCTCTTACACGGATGAAAAGTCAAGGAACACATTTACAAATGAGTGGCCAAAATTGGTTAAGGAGTTATTTCGATTCACTATTATCTTAAATGAAACAGAAATTCATGTTTTCAGTGATAAAGCAAATACAACATGACTGCAACATTAGGTACGCAAAAGTGAAGAAAACATTTTTGGCCAAACTTGGCATTGTAATGATAATACCCTGATAAGAATTACTCCAAATAAGGGCTGTTCAGTTTGCAGTAAAACAACTAAAACACTTCGTCAGATTGTCAGCGTTATATTTATATAAAATTATTTCCGACTGTCACGAATTTCGAATTGTGAACCTCAAATTAAACAAAACTGTTAATAAATATTAACAATATTAAGAACCATTAAAGGTAACCGCTCAAATTCCTATCCAAGAAATAAAATTTACTGACAGAAATCGTTTTAGTAAACAGTTAAGATTCATGGGGACTTTTCAGAATCATAAAATTGGCAACGAAACAAAACTTATCATGGACACAGCTGCCGCAAATTTCAACATCGCGAAACTTCAAATAAAATAATTAAATTTATATAAAATTTAATCATTCAAATTGTAAATAATTGTTAGCAATGCTATAAATCATTTAAGGAATTTTAGGTTCCTCAGCTGTAATGCATTTCCTTTTTTATCTTGATCTAAATAAAAATTCACATCTTAATCCCTCATTACAATCCCTATACTTGTCACGTATGCAAATGAACATCTGAAGTAATGTCTACTGTAATCCATTGTAATTCTGTTGCAAAGCACTTCCAACTTTTAACATATATAAACCTAATACTAAATGAGAACCTTCTTCTGAAGGAGGAATCTCTATGATGATTATCTTCCTCTTCTTGAAGGGCTGTTAACTTCTGGGACAAATAGGGGTTTCACTGTTAATCTCTTCTTCGACCAAACGGCAACTACAACTACGTGAGATTATACTTCCTCTTATTTTGCTTCTCTGCATATTAGTATTTTTCTTCCATTCGTATTGTATTAATAAAGATTCTATAATCTTACTGTGATTTCACCACAACGAAGCGTATCCGAGACCAACGATTTTGCTTCCAGTCAAAATATCACCATTATTACTATATCTATTGAACTACTTGTTCTATACTCATATAAGCCTTTTAATTTCCTGTTTATTCCTGGCCACTAACAAATAAACTTCTAGAAAAAAAAAAAAAAAAAACCACGACAACAGCCGATTTCAACTTAGAAAAGTCACCTTACGAAACGACGACTACAAATTAGCAGTATTTGATACTACTAAACAAGCACAATCGGACGGTTCGATTGAAATGCAAATAGATAAATGGAATCTCCTTTACAGTGAAAAAAAAGTTACAGAGGTCAAAAGGTCGATTGAAAAATCCTGAACTAGAAGAAAGTAGTAAACAGCTTATAAAACTAATTCCCAAGGAACAATCGAATAACAGAAGTGCTATACCAATATGCGCTATCTGAAGACGCTATTCCCTGTGATCTTATTAATGGATCCATGCCCACCCATTCATTGTACCTGCTATTTATCAAATTCGCGGATCAAATATAGCGAACCTCAAATTAAGTAAAAAAAAAATAAATTTATGTAAGAAATCAGTGCTTCAAACTGTAAATAAACACAAAATTTTGATAAATCATGTAACCAATTTCACTTTCCTCAGCTGTTTTTTCTATTTATCTGGATTATCTGGATCTAACTAAATTTGCATCCTTTCTTTTATGTTTAGAAAACCTATCCACATGCTAACATGCTAAATTCCCTTCCGTTAATTATTACAATGTTTATACTGTAATCAGACTTTTACAATTTTTTCTGTTATTTAAATGAACATCTGCTATCTTATCAAAATGATGCTGTAAACCATTCCCATCAAAATGTGTTATATATAAATTATATATACTCAAGATTATTACGAAGAAGTGTTTCTACTTCCCTCTGCACGACCTGCGTCCTTTCCACACTACAATCTTCTGAATATTAACTACTTTCTCCTAAATCAAAAGGAATAACTTCCCCAAATATATGTCTAAAGACAAGACTTCTCATATCAAATTAAAACTCTCCAAATCACACTTATGTACTATCAGTTATTCACTAGATTAAGTTCACTTTATAAAATTGTTTGGGCTAGACCAGTTGGTTGAGATATTTGGCATAATTTTTTCGCCCCCTTTCTATTACTGATATCGTCGTTAAAAGTGTCTTATTGAAATTCCAATTGTTGAAATTATTGAATACATTGTTGTATTAATCATTTTCTCAGAATAAGGGTTTAATTATCCAAATCTGAGACATCGAGAAGAAAAAGAAACAACCCTTTTAGTCTTTGTTACTATCAGAAAGAAATTGGCAACAAATTTATCGACCTCGGAAGGAATTGAAACTACAATCTTCAGTTCACGAAAGCCAAGGATCAATGCGTGTAAGTTATTTATAACTTGTTTATATGGGTAACAAGAAATCATGGATGGTGAAGACTGTTCGACTAGAAACATAGCAAAGAAGGATGGGAATTCCGTGTCACAGTTAAAACGGAAAGTATTTTGCGCAGAAAAAGTGCGAAAAGAGTCAAGTAATAAAGAAAAGTAAATGTCGATTACATACAAATTATGAAATTGAATTATATGAAACCCATTTGACAAGAATGCGCATTTAGTAATAGCCACGAAGTACATTATGCTCGAGCTTTTCTAATTAAAGAAATAGACCGGATGTATCACTATGCACAAAAGAACTATCAAGCAAAATCAAGCCAAAATGAAAACGAGGAAGATTTTAATTGAAATCGAGGAAATGGTGACGACAAGCGAGTCTCCAGAAATGAAGATAGTAGAATTCGATGGGAATCCAGAATTTTCAGGCCTATCTATACACCAATTTGAAGAGAACATTGACAGAAGACGTCGTAGCTAACGAAGGAATTTGTACACTTCATTGGATATTTAAAGGGAAGGGGTATGTTGACATAGCAGTCAATGAAGATAATAATATATTGCTATGAATATCTTGAAAGAGACGACGACAAATGAAGCAAAACAATGGAATCATACATTATATTAAAATTGGGCAAGACAAACAGTAATGTGACTGTAATATTAAGAGAACTACTGGATATTCTCTTCCAATTCAAAACATTTGGGAAGAATTTCCAAGACAAATCAGCCGTGGACTACCGTTACTGTAAAACTGCGGACTATCTATTATGCAATCTGATGAAAGAAATTGAAGAAGTCAAAATGAACAATGAAAAATATGGTAACATTTTTAAAAGAATATATAAAGGTGTAAGTCACTTACAGAAATCTAAAAGTCACTAAACAAATGCGGCAAATGGAGGTTCATGTCGGTAAAAGTTTCTGAGAAAGTGTGAAATGAGTAAATCATCATCTAGCTTTCAGAACACAAAGTCTAAACCTAACCACCAAAAAATTATTAACGCGACAAACTCAATCCTCTCAGTGAGCAAAATTATGTAAAACGATCGGAAGAAAAAAAGAGAGATTGGCTGACTTGTGTCTTTTGCTTGAGTGATCACTAGAATGATGTCGTGGATTGTATGGACAGCCAGATATTCTATTTTGCCTCAAACTTGCGTAATTAAACCGACAAATCAATGTTATAACAATGCGTAACGAAAGATACAATTATAAAACATTAAAATGATATCAAAACCACCCCAAAATGCAGAATGAACAACCGTATGGAGGACGATTGTTTATATGCAGAACTGAACTGACTAGATATCCGGCAGAGGATATTTAACTGATGTGAAACAAAGACTGCTAATAAAGGGTTTTGCTAACAAAGGGTTTGCTAACGAAGGATTTTTACTAACAAAGGGTTTTTGTTGTGTGAGGAAAAGGAATTAGCATAATAGCTTAAATGATCTAGACATGATTAGTTACAAATGCGAAATTATTTGGACAATGACATTTATCAAAGGTATTATAATTTGAACGCAATTTAAATGTATCGTTTTTTACGACAACTGTCAAAAGTACTCAACAGTAGCGGTGAGACTAAGAAGACTGACAACAGATTTAAGATTATGAAAGCTATACTTAAGGAGGTCCCATCGAACAGGAAGATGAAGGATTACTGTATGATGCTAATTAATCCATGAGAACGAGAAAAATCGGAGATTTTTGAATGTGGAGAGCGAACGCAACTTGACCAACTTGAAGTAATAACCAACAAATCCAGTGCCTTTTATGTCTGTGTAATACACTGGATAAAGAAGCCTTTTAGAATCTAGATAATAAGTATTACAATAATTGAAAAAAAAAGTTAAAGATGTCATGTTTCATGCCTAGTCACAAGATGTCATGCATGCCTAGTCACAAGAACCATTCACATGGAAATAACTGCTGAGACTCTCATGCAAGGGTTCAGGAGATTTGTAAGCCACAGGTGACTCCAAAATTTGTAGTGTCCGTAGCGCCAAGAAGAAATTATCAATCAAAAACTAGACCAACTAAAGTGATAATTCATCACCCCAGGAGCGTGGTAAGTAGGTATTTATGAAAAAATGGTTGCAGTAAGTTTCAGACATGGTTGAAGATAACTTTACAGAAAAGAAAAACCTCATTAACCTCCAGGAGATTTCCTGTAGTCTGGCTATACTGATGTGAAGAGTTCGCTGGAAAATATGAGAACAATAACACATTGATCAATAGTTACCTAAGTACTTGGGAAAAAATTATAACCTTGTAAAATATATGGCAAGAAAAGTTATGCAAGAATTAAGAAAAAAAACGCAATAAATAAATCAATCAATGGGAAAACAATATTACTGGAAGCTCCTGGCAATTCCTGAAAAATGAGTCGAAAACTAATCGAAGGAAAAGATGGACTTTGTTGATTCGCTATCATGAGAACGTCGCACAGTTGAATCGCACTGTGGGAAATTTGCATCCACTAGCGAACGCTCTTCGAGGCTTAGATGCAGTATCTGTCGCTGATATCGCTGTGGAAACAAAGAAACAGTAATCTGTTTTGTTAAAGTGAGACACATTCGTTGATTCAAGTCACATACATAATGTTTCATCATTTTACACTACGCTAAAGTGCCGTACCATTGTGCGTGTTCTGAAGACGCAATTTCGTGTATAACAACGGTCTATGGCCTTGCAACTCGTTAAAGTGTACGGTGGTGCTACCCATCAAATTCATATTGTGAAGTCGTTTAGGGTGGTGGGTCAGTTGGTGGGATGGTAAATAGTCTGAGCTTTCCTTTTTATTACTGATGTCATTAAAATTGTAGTAATGAAATTGTGATTGCTGAGTTCATTGTTTTAAACCATTCCATCTATCAGAATAAGTGTGTTTAATTATTCAAGTTTGAGATGTTGACAAGAATCAGAGAGACCGAAACAATCTGTCAGACTTTTTTGCCATTAGGAAGTATAATTAATGAAAAAATGGCTTTCCATAATTGTTCGAATATGATAAATGAATTAAAATCGAAACAATTTTCTTTTAAATTTTATAACTGTAAAATTAGGCGACATCTTTAGCATATCTTCTTCTTATATTTTGCGAAGACCGGAGTTGTTGTCTATCGTCCAAGAATTTACTTAGGTTTCCGGGTGTTTTTATATCAAGGAATCATAACGACATAGCTGTCGCCTTATTTTTCCACTTTCTTTTCAGGTAGGACTGGCACACTCATATTAATAATTTAGTTGAGTATTTTTAAAATAATTACTTATCGCTGAAATTTACAATGGGAATTTCTGTAGCATAATTCAATGTATCTATTGGTAGAATTGCATTCTGAAAACAAGAACAATGAATACATTAGGATATAAATACCGATATAAATACATAAATAATAATGGACTAATAATGATAAACATCACTTCATCAAATGTACCAGGATGGTAGAAATATTTTACAGACACAGCTATTTTGTGCAATTTCATAATTTTCTGTAATCAAATACTTCCATTAAATTCAAATGGAAATATGAAAAAAATTGAGTATTTTTAAGGCCATGTTGTGCACTTTCAAACATATTTTCCAAAATTTAAGCAAAAAATGTAAAAAGCTTGGATGTTCTTTGTTTTATAACTTGTCGCCACTTTACATAATAGCAATATTTCATGCATTACATCGATTTTTTAATATATACATCAATTTTTTTTATATTTTTTATAAATAATCCCAGTACTGCAAAAAAAATTATTTTATTAAGAGATATGCTTCATTTCAGTAAATACATATTATTATTGTTATTATTATGATCATACGAGAGCAACTTTCTTCCTTGCTTTTACAATTTTTTAAGGTTTCTTTTTCGGTGCGAGTAATGAATAATGCTCGATAAACACCACTTCATCAAATGTACCAGGTATGAGGAAACGATTTATTTGTTATAAGTACCGTCCAGTCGACAACTGAGATAACATCAGCAAAATCCTCAGCAATAAAATTTGTAGCAAACCGCAAAATAAAGAATCGCAAACGACTTTAATGCAATTACGCACATTCTTCAAAGATGACTATAAACTGCATTTCTATACCATGTGACAGCGACATTGCTTGCAACGCTAAAGCTGCTAGTTATTTCCATTGTTGATATTGTTCATTACTACTATCGATTTATCTTAGTTAGTTGGCTAGAGTTATTTACTTAGGCAGGATGTCATGTCATTAAGAACTACCCCCTCATTTTATTAATGTGTATTTCTGTGTTTTTGCTTGTGTGAGCGTAATTCTAACTTACGCTTTCTAGGAAGTAGTTGGAATCTAGCCCTGACATTACTACGATGTTTCGTTCAAGCGCCGGATCGAATTTGAATGACACTAATTTGACGACAAAACAACAAGAAACTCGTAAGGTTAGCTTCTTAAATTTGATTTGTTTTTTCCTCAGTTGTTATCTGCTTGTATGATGTATCAGAGTCAGTAGATATTATTTAAGAATAATGCATTCGGAATTTCACTTGATTTAAAAAAGGTAATTTCAATCCATTATCAAACTTCTAAACTTCATCGGTTGAATGTGGAAATTTCTTCTATATACCAGTTTTCCAATTTTTTTTTTTAATTCCAATGGGTAACAGATGCTTGGATATCGACTTAGATGAAATCAACTAATATGAAAAACAGATGTTTTTATTTATTTAGTCTTTTTTTCCCCTTTATTTAGTTTATCTTCTCATTCGTTCCAGCTGAATCAGTTTTTCGTTTGCTCATTTTGTTTTATTTAGCAATTATTTTCGTTCCATTTTTTGAAATGATAGAAAATGCAAGAAATGGTGCAAATGTATACCCCTTTACCTTCTCACTCGTTCCAGCTGAAGCAAATTAAAAAGCATAATAAAAGCAGGTGCTCAAATGAGCTGAACATGCAGAGTGAGATTAGTATTAGTCATATTCAAAGACTCCTACTAATCTCATCCATGGATTATTAAAAGTAAAAATATCCATCCATTTGCTGCAACAATACAAATTCTAGGAAATAGTTACTGGTGTTAATATCGATCCGAAAGATCCAAAAGCTAATGAAGCAGCAAGAATAATACAACATGCGTATCGGTAAGTAATAAATGTAAAGTCATAGGATAATGAGACAAAATGCTTATTCCAAATTATTATTTCAAAAGATTTAAAAATAACTGTTTCTCGTCACATCTCAAATCACATGTTAGTTTCAGCAAATAAAAATATGCTAATTGCAACTTCTTAAACTGACTCTGTATTTAATTTCTTAACTCGTTCATAATAGAATAAAATGAGAAATACTGATAATTTCAGAAAGCATCAGGAGCATCAAGAGCATCAGGATAGCTGTCACAAGCATCAGTATTAAAATATGAGCTAATAGTAAGAATATACAAGAAGAAAACTGATATTTAGCTTACCTCACTTGTGATGAATGTTTCAATTTTTCTGTCCATTTATAATCCAAAGATTAAATAATGAGTTTAAATTGAAAATATGCTGCGTAGAGTGGAAAGATTGACAAATATTTGCAGGTTGCAAATATTTGTCGATCTTATTGCTAAAGTTACAGTGTTGGATAATTCAAACTGATGAAATTAAGTAATGAATTATTCCACATTCAATCTATTTATCCACTTTTCTTGGTTTATTGTAAATAACATATATGTAGGTTATATATGTTTATAAGTAGCTGCTCGAGAATTGATAGAGCCAAGAAAATATGAATGAAATGATTTTTTTAATGAAGTTATGTATATAAGGACTGTATAATGTGTAAAGTGAAAAGATATTTATTACTCTGACTTATTCGAATATATCAATGATTATTTCTTTATAATCAAAGATGGATAATATTGGTTTCTTCATAATCTAATGTAAATTCTTCATAATCAAACGGTTGTTGGATGAAAATTAAAATGGAGATTGAATTGAAATTGATAAACAAATATCAGATCAAAATGTGAATCCTTGGTAAACAAGCTTTAAGATGATATTGAGAAGATCTATAACAAAGAAAATATTGAGGTATCTTACAACATTTTCAAATCTGACTTTACATCAGAGCACCTCTTCAAATTAGCCATCGTTGAAGATACTTTTCGGAAGTTGGAACGAAACTTTTGGTTATACATTTACTGTAGTAAATTTTCTGCACAAAAATGGCAGTTAGAAGGAGTCCTCCAAACAGAATGAAAACTGCGGTTTGCAAAAGAATTCCATTGCGTATCGCTTCGCATGATACGTGTGGTACTTCGGGTAATCCTGTCTGATTTATTTCGTTACGTTCAAAAATCACCAACTGAAATTATTTATACACATTTTTAATTTTGATTTCCAGTTTTGATTATTGCATCAGCATCACAGGTGTAGTATGTAATGCAAGATAACACAAATATAAAACAGATCGACTAAAGTTCTTATTTAAGACCTATTATCATGCCTATAAAAGACTAAAGACTTTTCTTATTTCTTATCTTGCTGGGTAATTCTAAAGCATTTTAAAAACCTAAGATCCTAGCCATTTAGCCTTTTCAGCCTAGAACTGAATTATAAAAGCAACCTCTTACCTTTTTCATGTTCTCATGTTTTCAACTTCTGAAACAATGAAGCCAGATGATATGAAAATTTCAAAACCTGATCAGCATGAACATCGAATGTAAAGTGATTGGCATTGGTGGAATTTGCTTTAGTGAGAGAAACTGAATTTATTTTCATTCGAGATTCATTCAGGAAACGCTTTCGTCTGTAACTCATAGACTGCATGTCCAATGCTGCAGAACAGTTCGGTTTACTTGCACTAAGATCATCGTTACAAATTGCGCGATCGGTACTCTCTGCGGCGAAAACAGTAGTTGGCAATAGTCTTGTTAAAAGAAATAAACTAATAATATTTAGTCCTTATTAAAAGTCATTTTCTAATTTTTTCTGACTAACTAAGAATCAGAAACTCCCGTAAATCTTAATAAACTAGTTTAGAAACACTTAGCATTCATATTATCAAAACATAAAATTATAACCCGATCTAGTAACTAGCAATGATTGGCTTATTCCATTCCATACCCCTGCACGGTGATCGTTCAATGCCCCGAGACATCAGTAATGGAGACAGTAAAATCTTACGTAGTATAGGAAATTCAGTTGTCGAGGTCAACATTGAAATCGAAGTTGAAGTTGGAATCGAAGTCGAAGTTGAAATCGAAGTCGAAGTTGAAATGGAAATCGAAGTTGAAATTGAGGTCGAAGTTGGAATTGAAGTCAAAGTTGAAGTCAAAATAATTTCACAGTTGGGTGGCTGAAAAGAAGTAAAAATAAGTTCAATATTTATTTACTGCTTGATCATAAATCTTTTACTTTGATTTATGAATCAGTCAATAGTTGTACTTTCATGTAAAAACTGTAGGTCCCTCTTTCCTTGAAACTTTCTAGAACAACAAATCACAATAAGTAATGTTTTCAGAAAATATATATTCTACGTGGCCGTGAAAATAAATTCACTACAATTAAAATTTAATAGATTGATTACGAAAAAAGAAAAATGTTTAAATCAGTTTTTGAGAACAAAAAATTAAGTACCGAAATGTCTTCACAGCCATTTTCTGCTTTAGCACATAATGTCACTTTGCACTGAAACTGAATGATAAGTTGATCGGCAAATTTGAACGCTGGTACCACAGAATGCGCCACTGTGAGATTATCACTATAGATCAATGGACCCATTAATGTCTGATCTGTGATACAGCTGCAAATATTATTTGTTAATCGAATTTCGTCACCGATATTTATTGATAGAACATAAAAGTGAGAAATTACTGATAAGTAAGCAATTTTTCATATCTCAGCAATCGAAATATGTGTGAGCTTTCACTAGAAAAAGAATAAAATAGGTCGGCTAACTTTTCAAGTGCAATACGAGTCTGTGAGACAAAGCCAGACTCTGCATCCAAGTAATAAATCATCTTACCCTTGATCATCGACAAACTGGAAAGTACCATTATCAGGTGTGTGAACAAAGCATGAATGAATGAACATACCGTACTCCTCTGGAAAATTATCATTTTTCAACTTTAAATAAAATTGTAACAAGAAATGTATAAATTAATCTGAAAATTTTCAATTTTGGTTCAAATTCGTCACCCGATGCGCAACTCCACTTATGGACCAGTTGATCGCCAATATTTGCATACTTTACCGGTTGGCCATCTACCGAATCCATCAGAATCTCATAGACACAATTAGTAACGATTTCGTTTTTCAGATCTGTCGTCGCTAAGCCACTGATTAAAAGTGGAGATTTAATTAACACAATTGCTTTAACCCTATTTTAATGGCGAGCTAAACTGATTGGCAACAGATGTAAAGATTTTAAAGTTTTGTAATCAATATTACTTTTATTTTTTGAACTTAATAAATGCTATCAATAAGATATTTTGATGACACTGGAAATTATGGGACCTTTCCTGCTTGAAATTGCATTACATTACCCGTTGACTTCTATGTTTTTAGATAAACTGTCGTAGCCAGTTTCATAGAAGCAATTGACACTAAACGCTTTATCAGCTTGCGTTAGAAATAAATAGTGATGTTGAACAATGATAATAATGTTATAGTTGATGCCTGGTGGTTCTTTCTGCAATATATTTATGCAAGTTGGTTGTTAGGATTACTTCCGGTTTATATTTTAGACTATTCAAAGTTTCCTTTTGTTCATAAGTACTTCACCGAATATTTAAAAATAGAATTCGTATTATTCTTTTCCTAATATTATATTGATTAAAATGAATACTACCTGCATTTCGCATTTCTGAATGCAAGCGCTTTTGTATAAAATACTAAAGTGAAATGGGCTGACAATGGGATTCCGTGTGAAATCTAAGTGACACTTCTCATGCATAAAGTATCCCTTCACATAAATATGTCCACGAAATGGCTTTTCCGGTTCGAAATATAATCGCAGGCCGTCCGTAAAGCATTCCTGGAATTGAACGACAATATAAGTATGTGGCAGAAAAAGATAGTTCGAAATTTATATTTTTTTTTTGATTGTAAAATTTATGTTTCAACAAACTTTTTGTTTACAACTAACTCAAATGACGTAAAAAGCACTGTCAAGTATTTTGACGCCAAACGTTGCAGGATGGATAGTAGAAACTAATACAAAAAGTTTTTACATAGATTTAGCTAAGTCCCTCTGGAAAGTTAAATACCACAATTGGCGATGCAGACGACGTGGCATTTTATCATCTGTCACCTGTCAAGCGGTACACCATCTAGAATCGTGAGATAAGCCAGTAGTGATAAGCTAGTGTTTAGATTTATCAAAACAAAAAAGACAAAAGGATATAATTACCAGTGTTGGCTCTTCTAATGTCCATACCCGCTGTGACAGTAATGCGATAAAGAAGAACTTTGGTTGCGCTACTACTGATCGTATCAGAAAGTGAAAAAAGCAAATCAAATTTAACGGTAATTTGCAAGGATCACTCATTGTATAAATCTACAGCCAGGAAATAATGAAGTTGTACTGACCAGATCGAAAACATGGAACTAATTTTCAATCACTCTTCTCTTTTATTTAAAAATTAATTTAAATGAAATTCCGCCCCGCTCTTATCTGTTAGAATTTCTCTTATCGAACAGAGGATGGTAAGGTTTAGTATGCTTAATCCTTTCATATTTTTACCATCGATAAGCGTTTCTGCAGCCGATTGACATACATAAATTAATGAAACTGCGCCTATGATCGAAACAAATAGTATCTTCAATAATCCAATATATACAACTTCGAGTTGTAAAAATAATGCAAAAGTAACGTTCATGGTGCTATTTCTAAACACCACGGTACCGTCAAACTACTATTAAGGTCGGAAATGAGTGCGATTTGGCTCATTGATGAAGACACATAATTTTGGCCGTCGAAACATCCTAATTAACATGTCACTCACAACAGATTCAAGAAGTCAGGTTCCGGAAAGCAATACAAAAAAGCTATCTTAATTCGAGACACATTAGAGTTAATTGAATGTAATTTTTAGTGGCTAGCATTTTTATTAAGATCATAAAGTCACAAAAGATGTACTAGCTTATTTTCAATATTTTTTCTTAGGTAATGTTGGAAGAAAAGTAACTTTTTCTTTCTTTTTTAGCAAAGAAGCAAAAGTCATAGAATAGATGAATAACATAATTAATTCTTTTTTCAGGACAATGTGATAATTCATTACAACTAGCCTTGATGACCTCATTTCCACATACGAATCGATTTAACCTTTGTAAAGATCCACCAACGGTTTCAGAGGCTTTAATGAGTAGTTCAAAAACTGAATAATTTGCATACTAAGCTTTAAAATTTCTTAATAAATGTCGCAAACAATGTGACAAATATAGCTACTGCTTATAAAGTAAAATGACGACGTAATTATTAGCATATAATTACTAAAGTATATGTTTACCATATCATGAAATTAAGGTTTTTCACTTTTGCTACTATTCCGTGCGTGTTATGGAAGGATACTGGAAGTTAAAACGTAACTTTGATACTAATAACAGAGCTGTGATTCAAAATTGTATGAACACTGCAAGCTATACGTATGGTTTCACGTATGAAGTTGACCTGTCTGAGCAAACATACATTTATGCTTTCATACGTAGATCTGTTTAAACTAAATTGTATTTAACATAATGAAATAAATTAATTATTTGTATCAATTCTTTATCACCATTCTACTAATTAATGTATGAGAAGTAGGTCTTGAAAACTTCACTAATGAATTAGTTGAAATATCTTTCGTAATTAATTAACATAAATGTAATAAATGCAGTTAATAATTTCTTTGTCTTCTTTTTCTACTAAAAATGACAAGACAAACGACAAACTTTCCAGTCAGCAAACCTTCTTCCCTTCAAAAAAGGCTTCAAAAAAGAAAATGATCTAGCAATATAATCAATAGTGATAATCATGATAATAGCTTTATTACGTGGAAGATTATACATTGCGCTCAACGTTAAATTGCCACAAAAATTTTTGACCCAAAAAAACACACTGACTATAGTGTATTCAAAGTATACAGACGTAAACAACAGATAAATAAGTAATATCTTAATATATGAACTGGAACATAAACATTGCGCCTGTCGTCACAATGGCGGAGCTATAACGTAGTGAACGAAGGCTATTGTTCTAAGTGATTTTAATTTACTTTGTAATCTTAGTATTCATAAAATCTCTCCCAATTTTCTTTCTTACAAAGCCATTCATTATAATTTCATGTTTGGTATGGCTCGCTTCCGAGGTGTCTAGCTTGCTTATATCTTTAAATGTTTTATGATTAAATTACATTTGTGTGTTATGTATCAATTCATTATTGTAATGTTGTATAATATTTAGTGTTAATCTGTGGTTTATTTACCCAAGTTTGAGGTTTGAATAATAAAGTATTTCACGAAGACTCCCACAGCACACGTACACAGAACGGAACTAGTACAGATTGGAGAATCTACCAGTATCGAGGACAAAGAAGTCAACGATCTGAACTATCAAAAAAGGAAAACGATTTTTTTTCGCGAGGAAACAGGGCAGTAAGAAAGAAATTCCAAATTTGTTTTTACAGCGCCTACTTTCTCTTTTGTCCTAATGCTATTGATACTAACATTTAATTCACTCTTTTACACCTTTTTATACTATTTATCATTTATATATAACTCAATTGAATTCACTGAAATTATGCTCAAAGGAATGGAGATGAAATTCAGATTAACAATTTTGAAATCAGTTTTTTGTTTTTTTTTTTCTTTCATTACTTCATCTATTTCATTTGATACGTACTGAACGTTATATGCTGATCGCTTTATTCCTTTCTTAAGATCCATATGTACAAATATGATAATAAAAGATAGTACAACCTATGCTACAAATCAGTTTCATCATAAACAAATAACATTGAAGTCTTTCTCTTGAAAGTTTTAAAACTTTATTTTTCGGACATGAGAAAAGCATACACTATAAATGTAATCAGAGTAAAGATTTATTATTGTATGCTCATGATTCCTAGAAAGTTGAAAACACGAATAATTTATATGAAAATGTTACCAATGACTTAGTCTATGGTAATAATATCATTTTTCAAATCAATATGTCGTAGACATCGAGCTTCTTTTTCTTTGCGATGCTGGATACAAGAACTTCTCCTCTTCGGTACCCTATTTTTCATCATTTGATTATTCCTTACAGTGCGCGTTTTACGTACAGTTGAATGAGATAGTGTAGTAGCACACCTCCGAATAATGGGAGGCACAAAAACTTCTTCCATGTCATTTTCAATATCTGATCGTGATTCATCTTTTGAGACTTTTTCCACCAAACTGTAAACAAAAATATTGGATATCATCAATGCAACACAATTTTTGTATTATTTAAAAGGAAAAAAATATGAGAATTAACCAGGAAAACTTAAACTGGAATAGAAAACAGTAGCATCATGCAACCATAGTACTTAAAAACTGGGTAGATCAAGTGTTGCAGTTTCATTTGTAAACCATCACAACAATTTCTTATCTTAAAATTTCAAGTTCTTCATGAAAACATTGATTCGAATAATTGAACGCTGTTGAGTCTATCGTAATTAGTTGTTTTGACTAATTTAATGAATCTTTGTAAGACTCCAGTTCCCATGCAACTGTATCACAGTAGAAATTGAAAAAAAAAAAAAAAAAAACAACGGGAAATGTTATAGCATCTCCTCATAACATCTCACCAAACTTTTTTGCTTCATCTCTGAAGACGGAAATTTCCAACCTTCGAACTGGTGTTGTTCCCTGTATTTTTTCTACGGCAACACTATTTGCGGTACTACTTCTATATGCCGAGGCTATAAGTGAAGCTGGGAATTTGCGTTCATTTACTATAACGGGTGAAAACGATTGCTGCCTCGGACTGCAACAAAAATAAGTCAATCAGCAATGCCTACTTTTAGCATTTCTAAATAACACCATATCAATTTCTTTAGTGTGATCATACATTTGTTCTGAGAACAAAAAATAAATAAAAGAAAAGACGTAAGCAATCAAATTAACCTAAAAGCAATAACTTCTTCGAGCGCAGCATTCATAATAGTTTGCGAAGGATCTACTCGAGCTGAATCAAGTTCCTTTTTCAATGCTACATTCAGATTTTTATGTTCATTTAGCTGAAAATTATATTTCGAAGTGAAGCGAATTCAAGCATAAAGTAAAGAAGCATATAGTATATAGATCTATATGTAAATGGAGATGAGATGAACAGTATAAACCAGAAGATATTCACATTTTGTATTTTGTATCCGTGATTTTCTACGATAATGGCAAACTTCGTGACTAACATAACATATCTTCAAAGCCTATCAAATAATAAAACAATGGAGGAGGACAGAAACAAGGGGAAGTAAGAAGGAAAGTAAAGGCATACCTTTTTCTGTAGATCACTGATTTTCTTCCGATTCTCTCGAAGCTCTTCTTTCTGATTTTCCACTGTTTTCGTGGCGTCTTTAAGCTGCCTGAAACAAATATTATTATTTATTATTATAATTGTTATTATTGCATTTATTATTATCAATAATATTATTTATTATTAATTATTATTAAAAATTATTACCATTATTGCTACTACTATTATTATTTATAATTATAGCTGCTATTATTTGTTATTAATATTATTTATAATTATATTATTATTATAATGCTATTATTGCCATTATTAGCATAATTACTATTATTATTATTAATTATTATTAATAACATTTATTGTCAGCACTGCTAATATCTATTATTATTATTATTATTAAATATTATCCATATTATTAATATTATTATTAATATTGTTATTATTATTTATAATTATTGTTGTTATTATTTGTTATTAATATAATTTAATATTATAATTATTGCTAATTATTACTGTTACGTATTGTAACATTATTATTATTACTTTTGCTAATAATTATTATGAATAATATTTATTATTATCATCGTTATTATCATTAATATATTTATTATTAATTACTATTCATTTATTAATATTACTATTATTATTGTAATCACTATAATTATTATTATTTATTATTACTACCACTATTTAATACTTACTAATATCATTATTATTATTAATAAAATTACTTGTTATTATTATCATTTATTAATTATTATTAATATTTATTATCAATACTAATTATTACTTATAATTATTATCAATATTATTATTTTTGGTTACTGTTGTTGTTACTGGTATTTATTATCATTATCAATTTTACTACTATGATTATTTTTTACAATTATTAATTATTACTATCATTATTTATTGTTATTATTATTTTTATAAATATTATTTATGATTATTATTACTTCTTGTTATTATTTATAATTATGATTACCTGTTATTTTTTTATTAACATTTACTATTATTATTCATTATTATTATCAATACTTAATATTGCTGTTACAATTTATAATTATAATTATTTATTATTGTCATCACTATTACTATTATTATATTTATTATTGTTAAAATTATTATGTTATTGCTATTATGGTTATCATTTATTATTACTATTATTTACTATTAATGTTATTATCATTATTGCTGCTACTTTTATTATTATTTATTATTATTGTTATAATTATTATTATCTGCCATTATTTATTATTATTATTATTAACATTAATTATTATTTATAATAATTATTACATTATTATTATCATTATCATTACTATTTATTATTGTTATTTACTACTAATATTATTTTTACTATTAGTATTGCTATATTATTTATTATTATTATTACAATTATCATTAATATTACTACTATTGTTATTATTATTATTACTATTGCTATTATTGTTATTAGTCATTATTACCATTATTTATTACTATTACTATTATTATTATCACCACTAATATGTTCGTTATTATTTATCATTATCATTATTTATTATAATTATTAGTATTTATCGTAATTATTTATGATGGAGTTGTTATCATTACTACTACTGCTATTATTGCTATTATTTACTATTATCATTAATAGTACTGCTTTATTATTATTATTATTATTATTATTATTAATACTATTTACAATTATTATTTATGATTATTACTATTTATTATGACCATTATTATTTATAATTAATATTTGTCAACATTTATTATTTATTATTATTACTGTTATTATTATTATTGTCACTGTTACTATTATTATATTTATTATAATTATTATTACAATTACCATTATTACTATTAGTATTATTTATTATTGTTATTAGTATTATCATCATTATTACTACTATCACTATTACTGTTATTATATTTATTATTTACTATTAGTATTACAATTATTATTATTATTATTATTATTATTAACAATAATATTTATTATTACTATTTGTTATTATCGTTACTACTAGTATTATTACCACTATCACTATTATCATATTTATTATTTATTATTATCACAATTATTATCATTACTTGATATTACTTATTATTATTAATATATATTACTATCGCTATTATTATTATTGTCACTATTACTGCTATTATATTTATTTATTTATTATTATTGTTACTGTTTATCATTACTATTTTTATTATTGTCACTACTACTATTATTATATTATTTATTATTATAACAATTATTATTATTACTGTACTTGTTATCATTATTTATTATTAATATTTTACTACTTATTATAATTGTTACTTATGATTATTAGTTCTCATTGTTATTTATAATCATGAATATTTGTTATTATTTATTATTACTAATATTAACTATTATCATTGTTTGTTATTATTTATTATTATTAAAACTCATTATTATTACTTACAATAATAATTGTTTATTGCTATTATTTTTGTTATTGCTATTATCATATTTATTGCTTTATTATATTATTATTATTACTGCTATTATTGCTATTAATTATTATTACTATTCATTAACACCATTATTTATTATTTAATATTATTAATTATCATTGTTTATTTATTTGTTTATTATCGTTGCTTATTAATATTATCGTTATAATTATTATTTATCACCGTTATTTATTATTGTCACTATTTATTGTTATTACTGTTTATAATTATTATTTATGATTATTAATATTATCAATTTATTATTATCATTATTATTATTATTATTATTATTATTATTATTTATTATTATTGTTTACAATTCTTGTTATTTATATATTTATTAATATTTATCATTATAAAATATTAGTATTTATTTTCTTACTATTATTGACATTTATTATTATCATTATTATTATTTACAACTATTATTATTTATTATTATTGTTGTTATTATTTATTATCATTTATTATTTATTGTTACAATTATTATTATTATTATCACTATTATTATATTTATTATTCATTATCATGATTACTATTGTTACTGCCGTGACCATTTTTATTACTATTGATTATTTTTATTACTTATTTATTTATTATTATTACTATCATTATTAATTATTATTCTTACTATTACCACCATTATTATAATTTATTATTATTACTATTTATAATTATTATTTATGATTATTACTTGTACTTATTATTTTTCACTACAACTATTATTATTATTATTTATTATTTCATTTATTATGAATATTACTATTACTATCATTATTTATTATTTATTATTGTTATTACTATTTATTGTCATCATTATTTATGATTATTAATATCATTATCTATTATTTATAGTCATTACTATTATTATTAGCACTATTATTATATTTATTTTCATATTATTACTATTACTATATATTATTATTGTCATTATTATCATTATTATTATCATCATCGTCATCATTGTCACTATTACTATTATTATTATTATTATTATTATTATTATTATTATTTATTATTATTATTTACTATTTATTATTATTATTGTTATTATTACTATTATTATTATTATTATTATTATTATTATTATTATTATTATTATTATTATTATTATTATTATAACAATGCTGATGTTAATCGGTTAGTACTATTTATACATAATTCGAGAATATAAAAACACAGTTACATTACCTTCTTAGTAAAGCAATGAATTTTTTCACTTCTAATCCTTCACTGGAGATATATTTATCGATTTCCAAAACAGGTTCATCTTTTGCACTGCTAAGCAATTTATAGCTGAAAAGTTCTGAACATGAATGTAAGATTACCAATCAAAACAGAGCACTGTAGGTGGTAGACGTCCTGGCGATATCTCCTAATACATGATATATGCAAAATCATTATAAATTTGGAAAGTACAATCTTCAAATAATACAATTGTGTGAAAATAAAAATTGGAACTAACGTTTTCAGATGATTAATCAGAAATAAAGGACATAGTGACTCCACTTGTATAGTAATCCCGTAAAATGACTTTTCGTGTAAAATAACTTACAACGCAGTAGCTTGTATAGTAAAAATGACTTTTCGTGGTGTAAAATAACTTACAACGCAGTAGCTTGCAATCGTTTCCTGTACTTCTGCAGCTCTTTCTCTAGGTCCAGTTGTTTTGTAAGCATGCCTTCCAGATGCTTGATTTGCTGCATATTAAGCTGAGAAATTGACTCCAAACTTGTCACTTTTTCTTTCTAAATTTAAAATTTTTGTAGCAAACTTTACCAAAGACAGTTTTTGTCAAATTTATCAGCTTTGCTTGTACAGAAAAAGGATAAGCAAGCAATAAGAAAAAGTCCTGATACTTCCTGATGACTTTTTCCTCTCCTTCAAATAACCATTCATTAAAAACTTTTCTTCAAACACAGAACAAGACGATAAGCGGGTCTGGAACTAGGATAACCCAACTTAAATTTTTGTTTGAAACTTTAAAATAAAAACAGCATATGAGTTGTTGCAGTTTAATAAATACTCGTTCTTAGATATAATCAAATAGTACCAATAAAAGATTGGCAGTTATATAAACATTAGCTTGATCCTTGGCTTCGGCAACAGCCTGTTTTTCTTTCTCGAGGTTATCCAGCGCATTCTGCAGCTGTAAATATCGTAATATAAATATGATGCGCTATTTCTCTACAGTTGTGTGAAAATAAAAATATGACAATACTACGATCTTTTTGCCTTTTCGATACATGAAACACTGTCTTCCGGCAGTCATAAATCGTTCTGTTCGAATAGTGAATAAATACAAAAAAGTTTTTGCTGGATTCTGAATAAATTATCTCTAGCTATGGTGATAAAATCATCATGATCAAGTAGATCAGATGAGTATGCTAATTATGCATTGTTTACTCTAAAACTTAAAGCAATCTTTTGAAATTTAGTAAAAGGTGAACAAATAGGAAACTTGATTATGCATTTCGAATGGATCAGTACTGAAAATGAAGCTTTTGTTCTCTTCCACTTGAAAAAAGAGCTGTCGGATGAGATCTCTTGTTGTAGCTTTCTTTCGACAAACTGGACATGTTTTACAGTTCTGTAATACATTCCTTTTTGAAAGTCAGAGAGAAGAGAGTTTAACTACAACACAACATTAAATTATGAGTTGCTAGTACCTTTAATGAATACTACTCTCTATTCAACTATCCTGACTCACATCATTTATCTGTCTAAAACGTTAATTAGAGAAACACAGGTTTGCATTACAGCCAACCAGGCAACCATTTTCCTATTTATTTATGATTTTTGAAGATCTGAAAAAAAAAAGTACTTTTTCATCCTATTAACGTCGATTAGATAGCATTTTAATTGATATCATTAACAACAGTATAAACAAGGGGTATATAGAGAAATCATATCACTACAGGAAGAAAAAAAATTAGAATCAGTTCGTAACAACATTAAAATCATACAAATAGACACAGATAACATCACTTTATACTTTTAAACCGTGAATTGAAGAAAGTTGACAGAAAAGAAAAGAACTGAGGGATATAGATGGAAATAATTCAAAAGTAAAAAATTTTAATTTACCTCAAACCACTGTAAAATACAGTGTAGATGAAATACATGGCCACATCGTACTGCTGCACTTTCACTCAAAAGAAGCGTATCCAAACAAATAAGGCATTGTAGTCGTGGTGTCATATTAGTCCTCCAACTGATAATAATAATAATAATTAATAATTAATAATAATAATAAGCCTTGAGGTACAAACGTTAACTGATAACATTCAATTTGAATTGATAATGGTCAACTCGAACTGTTAACGTAAATACGCCAACAATTTATTTTGAATTGTTGTCAGCATTAACAGCACAAAATGAACGATGATAGTTCGTTGCACAAAACGAAATGGCTTCGTTGCATGCAATTTTATTTTAATTAGCTTGGGTCAAAGGTCATCAAGTGTAATAAAATGAAGAAAAGAAGATATAACTGTTTAGTGCACAAATGTTAAGACTTTATAATGACGTTATGGCCAAGTTGCAAAAGAAAAAGTGAAAGAATTATTTTTCTTATCATTTATAAAACAAAAATCCTTACGGTGTAATTATAGATGTTATGTCAATCCATACATATCAGTGTGACATTTGTGATAATGAAGTAATAGAATGAATATCTGATAGCTGAAAATGAATTTTTTCATTTCTTCGAATGACAAAATTTGAACTATTTATTCCATTCGATAAACAGGCAGTGAACTACACTGATTGCTTACAATTGTAAACAATTTTTGCATTCAAATTTTTACGCCTTTCTCGTTTAAAAAAAATGGCAAAACGTAAAAAAAATTCTTATATATTTTGAGTTTTTGGAAAATGATTTGAATAGTTCTGAAAAATAAATTATATAGAATGAGACTAATAACGCATGGTGTGCTGTGGAAACAAAAATTTGTCGTGGAAAATTTGGTAATTTAATTTATTATTTTGGGAGAGTTTGTTGATGGCAGGGAGATTCGTTGGATGTAGATGTAAATATGTGGGGCAACAGAGGGATGTAATAATTCTCTCATTAGCAGAAGCAATAGTATAATAACTTGATAGAGAACAATTGAAATTGAACTCTCCTGGTTCTTGGTAAAACAAGGGTGACCTCCTTATGTAACAAGCAATATGCATAAACAAAGTATGTGATTTACAATAAGATTGAATTGCCGAAAGAGTAATCGATCTAACAAAGAGCTGTTCACCTAGGCTGCAATCAAATCTAATTACTAGTTGATAAACCGCAAAGAACATCAGTTAGGCAAAAGCTGTCAACCTCGTAGATTTAAGGATAATTTGCAATTAGTGACGACACAACAAAGAGCTCAACTAAATGAGGAACTAATGCCGTGTAGACAGTAGACAGTATATAAACATAAGATTTGAAACAAAAGTATAAACGTATAAACATTACTACAAAGAATTTTATAAAACATATTTTTCACTGCTATTCACAGCTCATATAATATTTTAGAGTTTGGCAATATTAAAATCCGCGACAAGGTGTAATCTACCTGGAATAATTGTCATACGATCATGCAAGTGAGCACTGATCACAACTGTCACATTAATTCAAATAATATATGCCATAATATTATGCTATTAACTGGAAAAAATTCCTTTTCTTTTATTTTTTTTTTCAAACAATTTTATTATCTGATTTCTTATTCGCCTAGCATTAATGCTACTACACTTCATACTAAAATCATACAAATCTTATCATATGACCTTTTGTACTTGCTCATCTTATTCTTGCAAAACTAGTAATTTTCATTTTGCTAATAGGGATGAAAACTGGTTGACTGGTGAAATTTTCCAAATTTCTTTACACTTTTGTGAACTTTTTCTCTCCCTTTCCCTCCCTCTCTCTTTCTCTCTCTTTTTTCATATCAATTTGTCCCTTTCGTGTGATATTATTAGCTGCTAAACGAAAAAGGATTTTATTCCTCCATTACTCTCTTCCTAAACTATCAATGATGCGAATGGAAATTGGTAGATGTAAATTAAAATCGAATGAGTGAACATTTGAAGAATGAGATTTAGAAACAGGAACACATAAATTCGATGGTCAGTCTTGGCCACTTTCTGAAGACTCATTATTAGCTTTTATTTTCCATTTTGGCTTTATTTATCCCTTTCTTCTCTTTTTTCTCTAATAGCAAATCATTCCATTAGTTTTCGTTAGTGAAATGTTTTTTCTTTTTCTTTTTCTTTTTTTTTTCTTTTTGCAATTTTTTTCATTTAAAAGTGTCATTCATTTTAAAAATTTCCATCTACTTTAACTTTCTTTCTTGCAAAAAAATTTTCGATTATTTATAAAACTACTTGAGATTTTTCAAATAAAGTTCTGGTAATTATCGACAGTCAAAAACGACGAAAAAGCAATTTGAAATAAATAAGCGGTCACTTTATCGTGTAAATTTTACTTCAAATTTATGAGAAAAATCATTTGATGAGTAACTTTTGAGGAAAGAACTGAAAATTTGATTCTTCCTAAATTCACAAATGATGAGTGAAATGCACAAACCTATGTTGTATCATCCTTTGTTGATTTTCAATAGAGAATAAGTTAGTTAGATATCAAATTAGTGTAAAATTATTTACCACTACTATTTTCAATTTTATTCTTCATTCATTCTTTCTAACTTTCAAGTCCTATTTACTCAACATTTCTATACTTCATCTTTATTTTATCTCTTTTCTTCGGATATTAGCTCCATTATCATTATCACTATCCTTATTATTTATCTTTATTTGTCAGTTTTTGTTCCTTTTTAAACAATAATATCTAATTGTATGAAACATTTGAAGAATATGAAAGATTGACAGACATTACTAAATGCGACACATCAACCCACACCAGTTACGTACTTAATGAAAATATATTTCCGATCATTGTTGGAAATGTGTCGTAGAATTGGCAGGCAATATGGTGTTAAAAGTGTTAGCTATAAATCAACTACAAATTTAATCTTAATTTTTTTAGTTAAATTTGTCCTTCGATTTTTTTCCTCCAATCTTATTTTTATTTTCACCTCTATCAGCCTTAATTTAACGCAATTTTTTCCGGAATTTATTTCTATAGCAAAACATTACTGATACAGTTTGAGAATGAACGGTGACAATAGAAACTTTCAAGCAGTAACCTTTCTTGTCATTTTATTTGCAATCAGTTTGTGTAATGCGGTATGTTGTTATACATTTATTATTTTATTTGTATATATAAAAACTTTCATTTAGAATTAGTCTGATTATGTATAATATTTCAACTTAATTAAAAAAAAATTTTTTTAATCTGTTTAAAACTTCAAAAATAGTTAACAGAATGACTCGAAAGCTATTTAAATGGAATCAAAAAAAAAAAAACAATCCGTAAGCTTTTGAATCTCTTACAATGAAGACATTAATTATAGACATTTTACTCATACTTTGTTCGATCAAATGAAAGGATTAGAAAATCTTTTTGAAGTGAAGTTTTGAATTTAAGTATGAGCTTTTGTATAGTTTCTTAATACTTCAAGGATACTACCGACTTTAAGAATTTAGAATGATTACTGCGAGTATTATGCAAGCTGTCAACATCGCCTGGAAATTAAAGAGCGCCATTGTGTAAAGATGGAAGAAAAATTAGATCGCGGTGGTACTAAATGTTCAAAGCTTGTTAATGTGGCACGCACAGCAGTTGATAGCTTGCAGCTGAGAAAAGCTGAGCTCGAGAGAGATTGTGTTATGAAAAGTGGTGGTGATCAGCCACGGAGCTTTAAACAGGTATCCAATTTTTGAAGTATCATATTTTTTCCGAAACATAACCATAAAATTAAGTTAATAAATTATCAGCTTACTAAACTTAACTGTATGTGTTCATATACGTTCATAATAAGAGATTGGTCACATTTAGCGAGTAGTGTGTAAACGAGCTATTCAAAGATTTCCGAATTTATTAATCGATGAATTCATCCATAAATTCGGTAAAATTCCCATTAAAATTCGACGGCAACACAATAACATGAAAGCATGCAGGAAATCGGCACGATTACTACGTAAGCAATGCCATATGTTAGCTCAATGCTGTCCTTTGCACAGGTATCGATATTTCCTGTGATTTAATTAACGCAAACTTTGACCTTTATAGGGTTATAAAATATGGTTTAAGATTCTAATAACAAGAATTATGGTATGTTTTTCTAGTGGAAAAGAAAAATTAGCATAATCATTAAAAGAAAAGAAAAAATATAGCTTACCATAATAGTTCTATAAGAAAATATTTCTTATGATCAGTAATGGATTCTGTCTTGGACTTAATTTGCATGTTGTGACATCCTTTAGATTTTTTATTGTCATTGAAATTAGGGAAAATCATATTAATAAAGTTAACTAGCGATGGTTTCCATGGGGATAAATAAACTTTACGTAAAAAGATTAAAATCATCTTTTTCCATCATAATTTCAAAATTTATTTCAACTACAAATTTATTTCAAAAACAATGTTTGTATAAGTATGAATTAAAAATTGGATAGAAATTTTTAACAATGGCACGTTTAATCACCAAACTAAAGACTCGAAAATTGGAAATTGAAGTGCGTGAGATTTAATTTTCAGATCTTACCATTTAGCTCTATCATTCTTTTAATTTAAGACATTTCTGTGTCTCTAATCAAATTTTTGTCAAAATTATATATAGATATTATTTTCAGTTGTCCAGAATTGGAAATTATTCGATCGCAAATCTCATCAGCAACTACATTTTTACATCATCTCAAATGGAAATGCTTCAAGTAGAATTATTATTATTATTAGATGTAACGCTGCTTGAGTCTGATAGTGCAACTGCTAAAAAATAGTTCCAAATTTTGGGCCGTTGTTGTTTTGGCCTCAGTTAATAATAATAAAAATAAAATCACAAATTGCTAGAAACTTTTTGGATGGACGGATTTTACAATTTTTTTTTTGTAAGTCAAAAACTCATGTTATTGTCCATAGGAAATTACTTTTTTCGTTAAATCTATTTGTACTGCTGTTGTCTCTTATTATATATAATGTTTCCTGACAATGCTTCGAGATTAGAGAATTTTTTAAAAAAAATGGCAAGTATTTAGTCACACGGGACATTTGCCCATTTGTCACACAATTTAACAATTTTATTAATACAACTGAGGAACATTATTTAAGCGATGGTTATGCGATGGTTTAAGCCACAGTGCAGAAAATAGCATAATGATTAGCAGTGATAAGCACCATTGATAATACAGTAATATTGGCCTACTGCTATTCAACGATCATTTTATACATTCTAATTCAATTGATGTTAATAAACTGCCTAAAAAAAAACATTAAACAGCATCTTTTTTGGGCGGCAAAACCAAGCGATAATATACGAAAGAAAAGAAGATCTAAAGCAATAGGTCAGTTAGACTTATTAAGTTCCATCCATTTCTCAATTTGTAAACTGTTTATTACTTTTTAATACAGCATAATACACATTGTATCCTCAACCAGTAATCTGTCTAAAATGTGTTGATAAAATTACTAAAAATGTTTTACGCCGTAGCGATCTCTACATGCAACAATGGCAGATGTCACTGACTGTGCTAACTGATCGATTCTTCTAACAAAGAGTAATTGGGAATTGAAAGTGTGCGTAATTCACTATCTTTGCGGCCTTTTCTCTTCAACTAATCACGAAAGCTTCACAATGACTGCAAAATAAGCTCGCCAAAGTGTTGACGATTGTCATAGGATTATTCTGGGAAGAGATTTTTGGCTGCAGAATTTATTGCTGACTTAACTGATTTCATAAGTAACAACTATGAATAGTGATACTAGAAAGACACTTTTGACTTCAGCGTTTAAAACTGACCATCATAGTAGCTATGAACCCCATTAGATAAGAGCAGAACAGTTGTTATCAGATAATGATTGAGACTGTCAACGCAGAAAATGATAAGCGTATTATTATTAGAGGTGACTGCATCAGTAGTGCTTTCACTTAATATGAAGAAGGGAATAATAAACTACAAGAACATAAATGTAATTGCAATAAATAATAGAAAAATAAACCCAACAATAACATGATCATGGAGAATTATAGGACATTGTGTTCGAATTCATAGTGAGGTACGTAGTAGACCATTGGTTCCACGCGTATCTTCGTTTTTTTCTGTACTTTTTGCAGGATATTCAAATGTGGTCACATAGCCATTATCATCATTATCGGAGTCATTTTCTTTTAGTAGTGTTGTCGATCGGCGATTTCGATCAGACTGCTCTGTACCTGTTGTTGTAGTATTTTCACTACTTCGAGCAGTTTCTAAATCACCATATATCTCTTCAGCTCGGAAATTTTTCGTTTCATCTAACTCGTGTTCAAAACTGATTCTCCGTAAAATTGATGATGGATTATTCATGTTTAAAGGATACAGCAATTCACTGGTACCACCGAGCTGCGTTGCACCACTTTGTAAATTGATGGCTGAATCACTAATAGGTGGTAGTGCTGGCGGTAGACATCGCTGTCCTATCGATTGCTGTTGTTCCAGAAGCTTCAAAAAAGTACTTTTTAGTTCTCATAGTTCAAAATTGACTCAAAATTCAAATTATACAGGAATCAATTACTAAATTTCACTCCTTTTTGTTTTCTTCGTTTTTTTTCCCATTTCTCTATCTCGCTAAATTCAGTCCCAGAGACCAAAAATCATATAAAACAAGCAATTTCTAAGTAACTTTTATTTTCCACAGCAAATTGCAGAGCTGATTGATCATTAGGCGTAACTAGCGTTCACTAACAGTAGTATGGACAAAAACATGCGAATAGACTTCTGTCGCCAATTTTTAAATAACTCGATTTCATGCATCTGTTCTCTATATTATTACTATTTCCAAACTAGATAAATGTGACGGACCAACAGAGAATATAATGTCAGTTTATTCATAACTAAATTTTGTCTGCTGCATAATTTTATGTCGCGATAGATCTAATATCGTATGTTCATGTATTCAAATACCCTTACGCACTTAACGATAAGTTATAAGTGAAACTTGAAAAGTGATTTTTTTCTATATTTTTCTACTTTTTCCATCATAGAAAAAGAAAATAAGCATCCTTGAAAAAAAAAGTGAACCAAAACACTACCGATAGTTTAGTTTTCATGTAGGCAATAATATCGATATATCGTTGTTCGGTTGCTTTTCTTTCTCGCTGTTCCCTCTTTAATTCACATTTATATTTTTCTACTTCTTCCATCATAGTTCTTTCATTAACAATCCTTAAATCTCTTTCAGCTCTTAATCTTCCTTTGTAGTCTTTTAGCTTCTTTTTCTGTTCTCGAAGTCCATACTCTAATTCCTAAAAAATTTCTAGACATGAGATCGTAATAACTCGAAAGGAAACAAGCATCCTTGGAAAGAAATAGTTGAGAAATCATTTGGCTTTTCTTACTGATTAATAGGAAAAAAAAAGAATTCATTCTTGTCACATATAATATTTTAGTAACATCTCAAACTAACCCTAATATGTTGTGCTCGTTCATATTCCGTAGTCCAAGAATCTGAACCTGAATCTGAATCATCCAAATTACGATTATATGTACTATGCAAAGTTGTTGGTGATGGATCACCACTACCATACTCTGATGTGGATGCATTAACACGCCGGAAGCGTTGCTGCTGTCGACGACGTCGATGAATCTACAATTAAAAAAGAAGCAGTTTGATTTGTAAAAACAATATTTAAAAAAATTCATAAAAAGTCTCAATATTACTAAAACAATCAAATTTAGTTCAGGGCAGCTTAAAGTTTCAGGAAAGAATCATTTCAGGATGAAAAGCAGAAAAATGGATATAGCACGATGTTAAATAGTTAGGTATTGGCGGGAATAAATTTCTCCCGAAATTTGAAATAATTACGGACCATTTCACCAGGAATAATTATATCCGGATACAATGAACGATCGAGAACACGACTGTAGGCATCACAGTGATTAATGCTTAAATCACCGGGACATGAGCGTGGGCCACGATGTACCCTCGGTCGAGTAGCTGTATGATAGGCTGCTGTGGCGTTGACATGATGATCACGTTGGGTATCCTTTTGGGAGATTGCATATGTTTCGTCTTCCTAAATATTTCATATACACTTATTCAAAAGGTTCAAAACATTCATAACATTCTTTCTTTCTTCTTTCTCTTTAACAAAGAGATATTTTTAAATTAATCGTCCTTTAACAAAGGACGATTAATTTAAAAATAGGACTCAAAACATTGAGCACAAAAGAGTGAAGTTGAGATGGAATGAATTGGAAAGAAAACGACGTACCGCTGCTACTTTCTTTGTTTTTCGCCATTTCAGCCAATTTTTAATCATGGTATTCACTTCTAAAAAAATTAGTGAACAAATGATCGAGGGAGGATATTTTGAATATTTTGAAATGTGCAATCAAGTCATCTAATCAACAGATCAAACATAATAAAGTAAACACACCCACACTTCAGAAATTCAAAATTTTTGACTACTGCAAAGAAGTTTGCAAAACAACATAACAGATAGAAAGCCTACAGAGCATCGACTCTTCAATTTTTCAGTTCCAAAATCAGAAGAGTTAAAATTTAAGTCTTAGAAGATTAAAGGATAGCAAAAAGGTAAGATAGCGCAACAAATGTAAATGATTGATCCAACAAGAGTAAGTAGAGATGAAAATGGGCAGAGAAAAGCGGCGATCCTTTGATACCTGAGAAAAAGGAGGAGGGAGGAGACCCCTTTGTGATTTTGTCACCCAGCCGGCATTAAATTATTTGGAGGGAAAAAAGGGACATCCTCCTACATTAGCAAGCAAATTTTCTCCCCTTCCATCTCCCTTTATTAATGTGGTGGGATTACAAAGATGGAGCAAAGGTTACAATTGATTTGCAACATCAGATTAAAATTTTGAGATGAATTATACAAAAAAAAGAAAAAGTTTCTACTAACATTTTTTCACTGGCAAAAAAAAGTGAAGCTGAATATGATCTACTTGTGAACACAGTGTTCGAATCAAGTAAAATTTTGACCCTAAGCACAACTAAAACAGCATCTAAGTGTGCACAAAACTCGCCCATCTCTATTTCCGTGTTAATCTAGTTTTTGCAACTGTTTTTGTTATTAGAATTAGCAGTTTGGAATCTAATAGATGAACTTTTTCTGGCTAAATGGCATTGTAAATTGTCGAAATTCCAAATATCACAAACTTAAAGTCATTCATACACTAAAGTAGTAAGACTTATGCACTGAACTTCCTTTTACTCAATATTCATTTACAATGTCATCATGCTAATATCATCAGCTGTTTGCTATGAGATACTAGTGTATTAAAGATGCCCCTGAACTCTTTGCAGATAAATCCCTGTATAAACTAATCAAATTGAAATATATATTCTATATCAAAAAAGGCTTTAACCCGGGAGAATTAAGAAAATGTGCTCCAAGGATAAACCAGTGAATATAGTGATAATAAAAAATTATTAAGCGTTTCTTTTTGAAAAGAATGCTTCACACACTGATAAATCAATTATTCCAACATAATCCGAGCAAATGCAATAAGCATCGGTAACAAGAATATATCAATGTTACTATTCAAATACTATTAAATTTCGACACAACATAAAGCAGAAAGGTAAAACACTTGCTTCATACATTGTCAATTAAATGAAATGAAAAAATCAAAAGTTATCAAAAGTTCAGAAGTTAGACAAAGCAAATCACATAATTTCACACCAAAGCGGTTCTTTTGTCACTAAATGCAATGTGTACCGTTTTTTAGTCAGCTTTAAAAAACACTTTATATCCTGCAGTCTCCTCAAATCTAAAAGCGTCACATTGGTATTGATTGTATTCAGTTAACTTTATCAAATCATTGTTTAAATATTGGTAGATTTAAGCATTATATCACGCTGTCCAAGTTTCGTATCACTACTTGACCGTCGAATCACCGATGTTGCCACCTTATCGCCAAATCCATGCGATGATGTTGTTGTAGCCGCGGTTGCACGATCAATTGCACGCAAGGTTTCTTCTAATGTTGCAGAGCAGTCATTTTCACGAGTTGAGAAAGAGCTACCGGATATTGTGCGTCGTTCAGCTTCCACAGACGAAGTGACCTATTTGGACAAAACGCAATAACTTATATCAGTATAACATTGATCAATCCGAGTAAAAAACTGCTGATCAATTACTTTTGGGAAAAAATATGAATTATAAATGAGCTGGAACAGGAGAATAGATTACCAATCAGCTGTTCGTTTTGTCATACTATTTTTACCTGCCAAACACTTTAAATTGTAAAAACAATTAAGAGTTAATCAATCTGGAATGAAGTACAAGGGAAGGCTAAAAATGACGTTTGTTCCGATAAAAGATATGAGTTGACAAACAAAATTTTTTATCAGGTATGAGAAAAGTCCTTACTAAAAATTCCTTGTTCGTCAAGATAAAAATTCAACTAACAAGCTGTCATACCTCGTTAATGCGAAAATTTCTCACTTCGTCAACACTTCCTTCATTTATTGTACTGCAATGTAATGTAGACGGCAATGGAACGGTAGAACCAGAAGTTGCAGAGCAAGCTAATTCGTTCATCGCAAGTACCGATGATGGACCATTTGAAGTTGATGGTGGTGAACAGAAAAGCGATGGCCCTTTGAAGCTGTCAGTCATAAGTTTCGGACCGGTATGTTTTAGCTGCTAAAAAACAAACATGAAATTAAAGAATGAATAATATGCATATTTAGAAAGGATGATAAAATGTCTACTGATACATCGCAACTCTGCTAGTATTGAACGGCTTAAGGACGTGCTTACCTTTTCCAAAGCGCTGATTCTATTTCGATATGATTTTTGTTCATTCTTGAGCATTTCTACTAGCTGAGTTAATCGCTGGATATCTTCAACAAATTTACTCTCGACATGTTGCCGCACTATGCGTTCAGACATCAATTTTTGCTTGTATGAATTTTTGCGCTCTTCTTCCCGACGAAGGCGATAAAGAAGTGCATCTAACTTCGTCTCTAGAGCCTAGAAATTGCTTCATTATATTCAATATTTTTCGAAAACAAAGATTGCATCTCCAAATAATGAACATGTGTTACCTTTCTCACAAAATGATATAGCTTATCAAATATCAAAGAATATACCTGAACAGTATCATCATTGTTTGTACCACTACCATTTTGTGAATCATATGAGTCATCAGAATCTAGAATTTCGGAGTCGTACTTGGTAAACATTGAAACCCGATCATGAAGTCGATCGTTTTCAACATGCGACCGTTTTCCACACCTCATACTACCCTACAACAATGATAAAGTAACAAGAAATGAATGATAAAAGGAACTGTGGGTAAAGAACACAATATAGATGTAGCACAGTAACAAAAATTAAGATCAACCAGCAGAACGTATAGTTAAAAGATGGTGGTTATTTATCATACATTTTGATTACATCCGATAATTAGACGACTTATATTCAGCTTACGATATATTATGCTTATCACTACCAAACGTAGTAGCAAATATAAAAGTGATCAAAAAAGTAATAAAATCAAATACGGTGTTATTAAAGCTTTTATGACTTGTATATGGATCAGTTAACATCATCTTTTAACAAGCAGAAGTATTTATGGTTATAATATATAAGAACAAACTCTGTTGTGGAAATCGATTGAATGACGAAATCTGTCATATTTATCGTATTCATCTCGACCAACACATGATCGCGATGTTTTATACTGCCTTGACTGAGTGACTGTATGATAAGCGGCAGTAGGTCTTAGTAGTGAATCATCGATACTTCTTATCCGAGAAATTCGTTTATCACGCCTTGATGATCCACTACCGTAGCTTTCTTTGCTGCGATGCTTTGCCTTCTCCTGAAATTATGTTAGATTCCCCACTAGTTATAGCTACCTTACATTAGCAGTTATTTGTTTTTTTAAACTGCAACTAATGATGTTAGCAGTTAAATTGCTCACTACTTGAGATAATACTATTAATTCATTTCTATAGCCCTATATATGACTTAGAAAATTAAACTTATCAAATAAACGAAAGGTTTAGAGGTCATCAAAAATAACACTAACGTCATCATGTCCCGTGTTAAAATTATCTTTTTCTGTTGTCTTCTTCGAACGAAACATTTTCAAGAAATTCGACATAGTGAAAGAAAATGAATGAAATGAACGATTGATGAATAAACTGGCTGGAATACAGTAACACTTGAGTAACCGATTAGAAATAACGCCAACTGTTCGACATCAAATAGACACATTTAAAATTCAAATCTTACCGCTTACTTTTAACCGTTATGACTGATCTGTGGCACAATGCAACGTGAGACGTCTCACACAGTGCAAAATTCATGATCTATGCTTGAAAGGAATGAGGATCTAATAATTTTTCTCTTTCGAAATAATTTTTGTAAATGAATTTAATTAAGATAAATGTAAAATATTTGGACAATTAAGAAGATATTGAATTATCTATTATTCAATATTTATTTTCCAATATGACATTATCTAAATTTTTATATTTCTCTTAAATTTAGCTGAATAAATTCCATAATTTATTCTTTCTCATTTGGATAAAAGTATTTTTAGTTTTTATTTTTACTCTTAATAATATATCAATATCAAAAATTAAAAAAAAAAAATGGAAAATTTTTTTAAAGAATGGAAGATAATTTAAACTAATATCTTTAATAGTAGTTTTATTTGATAATAATAATAATACTCTTAACACTGATAATTAATTATTTAAGTTTTAACTGTAAAAAAAAAGAAAGAAAGATTTAAACGGCTAACTTTTGAAATGTTCACATCATTTGTCATACTGTAATATCTAATACCATAGAAATTTTTTTTGTTTTATTTTATTTTTTTTTTTTTTGTACAATTTGAAAATTTCTTCAAATCAATAATTGTAAAATGATTGAAAAGAATTTGTATGAACGAAGGAAGAAAAGAGTATGCCGAAAATGAATAGTAGATAGATATATGATGGTAGGTATATTGTTGCTCATCATTATTAATCATTTCATTTCATTTCATTTTGTCTACATCAACATTCCATCAGTCTTTAATTTTTTTTTTCTTTTTTTTTTTCGTCACAAACCTGTTTTTAGTTCATATTTTCATTTTTGCTGTTTTTTTTTTGTCCTTTTTTTATAACACTTAATGCTTCATATCATTCAAGCATTTTTGTTTCATTAACATATATATATGTGTGTGTTATTTTATTTGAATATTAATAATTATGAATGATAAAGTTATATTACAGCAATTTATAATTATCTTATCAATAAAAAAAGAAATCAGTGAGGTAAACTTTAATATATAAAAGTTTTTATAAATAAATTTGGTTAATTTTTCTTTTGGTGAATATTATAGATTATTGAGTTGTTTGCGATCATTTTTACAGCTAATTCTTAAAGCGAAATGAATTTGCAGCAATTTTCATAGATGAAAGAAGTAAAAATGAAAAGAAATAATTGAGTTAGAGAGTAAAATGATGAAAATTTTACTTTGCAAGTTATTAAAATCTAACATTTTTTGAATACCAATGAAAAATCAACAATTCATTTCATATTTGAAAAGTTTTCGATGATAGTTTAAGCAAATACATGATAGAATAATGTATTAAATAAGATTTATAAAAAAAATGCAACAAAAAAAGAAAATATTTGTTTATTGCAGTGATATATATGACATTTGAAATTGAAGATTGTTAAATAATCCTCAATTTTTGTAAATTCTTTAATTTGTTATGTCTTTTCAAAAGTGGAAATATTAATATTAAAAGAAAACGAAAATTATTCATCTTAAAATTATAAATAATTGAATGGACAAAAAAATTTTTATAGTTAAAAATTACCACTTTTCAAGAATATTGCCATTTTATTTGTACCACATTCCGTGACTTTTAACGAATAATTTTTGAAAAAGTAATACTCTAAAAAACTTTACATTTCATTTAAGCTTCATGTAATAAACCTTAATGATATTGTACGAAACTTCAAATCTGCTTCGCAATCATTGCAATAATACTTTTCTAAATTATAGATAACATATTTCCTCTCTGATATACAGAGTAAAGTTGTGTCACGTACGTCACGTAATAGTTAAATACCATGCAAATAACGTGTTAAAATTAGTTTTGTTTGTTGTACTGATATGATTGGAAGAAATTAATATTCTAAGTATTCTACTATCTTAAAAGATAATGGTGCAATCATGATTTCACCAAATTATGATTGATCTAATCTTTCTAGAAAATATTCAAAGAGCTGATTTTGTGTCCAAAATTTTACACCGCAATAATTCAAAGTTCTATTTCTGCAGCTTAAACAACTTAAGCAGTTATTACCAGCTTTTCGTTCTGAGCACATTTAAAGCTTTAGAAGTATTCCGATTCTCCATTTATTCAATCGTACATAAGAAAACCTCTTTATATATATATTAGTTTACCTTAACTTTCATGATTTAATGAATAATCTCCCCAAAAAATTATATTAAGATAAACATTTTTCATTTTCAGTTGTGTTCTTTAACATATATTACAAGGTCATAGGTCACAATTATGACAGAATAATGATGTCATAGTTCTCGTGTATATGTGATATTAAAAATAATGAGAATTTATTCGTCGAATCTTGCTGATGCAAAAGTGAAGTTAATCAATAAGTGTGTATGAAAATAGTACGTCAAAATTTAAACTAAGCAGTTTATTTTTCTAGTTGCAGTTAAATTGGTTTATTCAGCTTACTGATATGCTTCTATCTGTTATCACTGAAATGCGAGAATTATCAGTGCAAAAGAATGAGCAAGGAGAATGAATGAATGAAGCGTAAGTAACATAAAAGTGAAAAAATTACAAAAGACAAACATACATTTGCGACAATACATAGTATTTTATAAATCATCGATAGAATCGTAATGCGAAAAATCAACAAGCGAAAATAATTTCTAAGTTACATATTTGACGAATAATGTAGGATCAATTGAATGAATGAAATTTTTTTTAACTCTCTTTTATAAATTTACTAGTGATTTCATTTATGATAAGTAAAATGATGATAAATAGATGGAAATTATTGAATAAAATTCAAATTAACTAATCATTTGTAATCTTAATTAATTGATACTTCAAAGTTGGGATTATTTAAAGGTCATTTTAGTGGTAGTTGTAAATTAGACAATTTTCTGTCATTGAATTTAAAGAGGATATAGTAATATGCCAATGTTAACAAATATGTCATAAATATTGTCTTAAATATAGGTGAATATGATTTCTAAATAGTAGTCAATTTGAATGTGCGCAAATGTGATCAAACATGCTGGAATGGATAGACTAGGAAGATGAAGTAATCTCTGTGAAATATATAGCACATGAATGATAATGTATTTAGAGAGCGCTGTTTGCGCATTTTGATGTAAACTGTTTGATTTCGTTTGTCAGTTTTCTTGCACATTCAATTCTTAACATTTCCTTTCCAATTATCATTCCCACGGTTTTCTTTTAAAGCTATCAGTGCTATCACAACTTTAAAAAATATTTTCAAAAATTAACTTAAAAATTGAGTTAATATTTCATTTTTTAAATTTGTTTCTTCCTCATAAGTTTATCTTCTGATATTATCTGATTTAAAAAATTTTACCTCTTTAATTTAAAACACCAACTTATTTCATCTAATGCTAATTATTCATAATTTTTCTCTTTTTTTGATACTAAACGTCAAAAAATGTTACATTTTTAACTTTTAATCTAAATTAATCTGCATAATTCTATCGTTTATTGATATGATACGTGTAAATGATATTTATCTATTTAAGGAGTTCACCTTTTTTTTTGTCTTATAAGATCGGTTTTTTTTTTTAAGTTAAACCTGAATTAAAATGATAATATTTAATTAATTATTATTTGTGAAATAAATTAAACAATCAGGAATGAAGTATTTAAAATATGCAATAAATTAAAAAAAATGTTAATGTAATTAATTTCTGCTTGAATAACTTCTCGTATAAAAATTAAAAATTTATTGACAATATTTATCAGCGTTATTAGGAATAATTAGTACTTTAGTTTTACTCAGTGATTATTCGATGATCTAAAATAACTTAAATGAATACTCAATATCTTTAACAATTTAGTTTTCACATGGTTTATGTAAAAAGTATTGACATTTTGCAGAATAAGGAATGTCGTCTTTTTTTTCCGTTTTATTTTTTACAGATTTTACAGAATTTACAACGAGAAATATTGTCACTCGGTCATATTACCTGTAGGTAGGAGCAGATGGTCAATTGCGCAAATTCTGATTTACCACAAAAATATCTATTCATCGAGAGCACAAAATAATTTAATTATGAAGAAAAAAAAAAAAAAGATTTGCGCGACATAATTTCATATTGCCCAACTGTTAATTAAAAGGACAATATTGCTCATTAAAAAAAAGAGAAAGAAAAAAAAGTTACCCGCAAATCTATGTGACCTTTTGCTATTATGTCATTGAGCGATAATTTAAATGCAGCGATCATCTTACTGCCAATTTCTGAAAGAATAGTCCTCTTCTCATCCGAATGTCACAGCACGTGGCATGTTATCACTTTTATCAACAACTGTTATTGTCACCAAGAGACGCTTCAAAAAATAACACTTGACAAATGATCTTTAAAGTTTCTCTTGACTAATGAGTAGGAAATTAAAAAATTCAACCCATTAATAATAATTTATGCAATACATTACAATAGTGATATAATATCTTAATGAATATATTGTAATACTAGTAGATAAAGAACTCTAATTTTGTTCTTTTCATTGTCTTTTGTTTTTTTTTTTTTTAATACTAAACATCTATTAAGCCCCAATTTGTCATTGATGTCATTTAGTATGTCCCAAGAATTGTCCACTAATATAATGGTTGTGACAGTATCATCATCAACCAAATCGCTCATAACAAGCAATAATTGACGAATTGGTGGTCTATCGTACTAACTTTTAAAGTTTAAATGTATTTATTGAATGATAATTTTTACAGTAATCTCATAATCGATAATTTGTTTACATCTGATAACACATTAACTATAATTATCAGTGAAGCATTCTCCCCATACTCAAATTAAGAAAATTGTGACATCTATTTCATTCGCATAATAAGTAG